GCGCAAGGGCCCGGTCAGGTCAGTAGGGGGGCCTCATGAGATGCCCCTTTTGGTACCTTTTTCATAGGCTTTTTTGAGTTTGGGCAAGGACACAGGGGCAGGGGGGGCCCATGATCTCCTATTTGCCCGGGGGCCCCCATGAGTTGTCAGTCCGCCCCTGGGAGGGAGAGAACCAAGAGAGCTTCTGCTCTCATGCACAGCACTAGATCGAGATCAGGCTCAGGCAAGCATGAGGTGAGGCTGGGGGAAGGGGGGGAGGAGCTGCATGCAGAGGGTGGGGTTTTTCACCCTAATGCAGCAAATGCAGTAAGGTAAAAAAAAATCTGTCTTCAGAACCACTTTAAATCCAATGGTATTTTACGTCAGATGATTGCGTTGTTGTACATAAGATGCTTTTCCAGTCTTCTGAAATGTAAGAAGGCAATGACTATCCTAAGCCACTAGAATGGCTAACACTGACTGAGGGAACATAGAAGCAGTGAAGACGCAGTGACAGTCTAACTAGGACTGCATTAATTAGCACTAAACAGGAGGGGGAGGAGAGTGAAGGATACCAAATCACATACATAAACAAATTGCAGAGGCCTAAAACCACCACTAGATGTCAGCATACATCCAGACAGTAGTAGCCTGATACAGCTCAATACAACAAGAGAAAAAATACACGTAGGTGGGATAGGACAGCTGCTGTTCTTCTGAGACAGGGGCAGACTGACCATTCGAGCACTCGGGCACTGCCCGAGGGCCAGGGGTCAGCAGGGGACCCCATGAAATTCCCCTGTACCTTTCTTTTATAAGGCATTTTTTTTTTTTAGTGTGGGCAAGGACACAGGGGCCCCATGATCCCCTATTGCCCGGGGGCCCCATGAGTTGTCAGTCCGCCCCTGTTCTGAGAACCAGCTTGCATGAATCATATGTTGGTTGAATAGTTTGGTCACATCGGTGTGGGCTCAGAAGTTCATCCACAAACGCAGACAGTGTATGTTCCAGGGCTGTGCACAGATGAAAGATTGGGAGCAGTGGCCATGCAGCTGCTGCATCCCAATAGACATCAATAGGACTGTCACGCACTGTTATTGCACTCTTTACATTTTTATCGGCTGACTCCTGGCTATTCAGTAATAGTGATCACTTTTACAATTAGGTGAAGGTTCCCCCCCCCCCCCCCCCAAACTCTTGTTAGCCCCCTTGTGATATAAATAAATGTTGAATCAAAAAAAAAAGTCTTACAAATTTTAAATTATATTTTAAAAAAAAAATCATCATTCAACATTAATTTGATGAGCTGTAAGGCCCAGCAGGGGCGGACTGACCATTCGAGCACTCGGGCACTGCCCGAGGGCCCGAGGTCAGTAGGGGGCCCCATGAGATGCCCAGGTACCTTTTTCATAGGCTTTTTTGGGCTTTGTGGGCGTTAAGCGAGGACACAGGGGCCCCAATGATCCCCTATTGCCCGGGGGCCCATGAGTTGTCAGTCCACCCCTGAGGCCCAGTTCACACTATGCTTTTAGGTTGCTTTTTTTCTGTATCCAAAACGCACAGAAAGGAGGTGATCTGGTTGTCAATGTCATAGTTCCCATCAATGCTTGCAGTTCCAGTGCATTCCGGATGCAGAAGAAAAAGTAGAAAAAGGCTTGCATTTTTTTCCTGCACAGAACTGTACTGGAACGCGGTTTCAAAACGCATAAAAAATGCACCGGAACACATCAAAAATGCACTGGAATGCACATCTCCCTATTTAAATTGAAGAAAAAAAAGAGAGGGAGGAAAAATGAACTGGAATACAAAAAAAACCCACACTGGAACGAGTCAAAAACGCATAAAAAACGCACCAGAACATGCCAAAAATGCATCAAAAACAAAAAACTCACCTGGAATGCATCTGGACTGCGTTTCTATAGTGTGAACCAGCCCTAAAGGCTTGTAAAGCATCACCTATGCACACATTTTAGGCTCTCTAGTGTTTCACTTGTGCGCAATGTAAGGGTTGACATGATTGGTATCTATTTGCCCAAAGCAACCCCATCTTTTATATTTTACCCAAAATTAGGTATTACATTACGTTTGTGTGCAGTAAAGTTTAATTTAGTGTATTTTTTCTGAATATATATATTTGAAAAAACTTAGCACAAATATCATGCAACATACAAAAATGGCAGCTACCACCACTGCTTTCAGAAATGATATAATTTTAGAGGTTTTAAGTAATTTTCTACATAAAATGCAGATTTTGAACTGATATCATATGTTGATAGCATGTATTATACTGAGGAGGGTGCAATCACCATGTATAATACATAAGGGGAGATATGATCATCACCATGTAATAATACATAAGGGGGGATATGATCTCCATGTATAATACATAAGGGGGATATGATCTCCATGTATAATACATAAGGGGGGATATGATCTCCATGTATAATACATAAGGGGGATATGATCTCACATGTTATAATACATAAGGGGGGATATGATCTCCATGTATAATACATAAGGGGGATATGATCTCCATGTATAATACATAAGGGGGATATATGATCTCCATGTATAATACATAAGGGGGGATATGATCTCCATGTATAATACATAAGGGGGGATATGATCTCCATGTATAATACATAAGGGGGGGGGGTCTCCATATGATATGATCTCCATGTATAATACATAAGGGGGGATATGATCTCCATGTATAATACATAAGGGGGGATATGATCTCCATGTATAATACATAAGGGGGGGGGATCTCCATGTATAATACATAAGGGGGGATATGATCTCCATGTATAATACATACATAAGGGGGGATATGATCTCCATGTATAATACATAAGGGGGGATATGATCTCCATGTATAATACATAAGGGGGATATGATCTCCATGTATAATACATAAGGGGGATATGATCTCCATGTATAATACATAAGGGGGGATATGATCTCCATGTATAATACATAGGGGGGATATGATCTCACCATGTATAATACATAAGGGGGGGGATATGATCTCCATGTATAATACATAAGGGGGGATATGATCTCCATGTATAATACATAAGGGGGGATTATGATCTCCATGTATAATACATAAGGGGGGATATGATCTCCATGTATAATACATAAGGGGGATATGATCTCCATGTATAATACATAAGGGGGGGATATGATCTCCATGTATAATACATAAGGGGGATATGATCTCCATGTATAATACATAAGGGGGGATATGATCTCCATGTATAATACATAAGGGGGGATATGATCTCCATGTATAATACATAAGGGGGATATGATCTCCATGTATAATACATAAGGGGGATATGATCTCCATGTATAATACATAAGGGGGGATATGATCTCCATGTATAATACATAAGGGGGGATATGATCTCCATGTATAATACATAAGGGGGGGATATGATCTCCATGTATAATACATAAGGGGGGATATGATCTCCATGTATAATACATAACGTGGGGGATATGATCTCCATGTATAATACATAAGGGGGGGATATGATCTCCATGTATCATACATAAGGAGGGGGGTATAATACATACGGGGGGATCTGATCCCATGTATAATACATAAGGGGGGGGATATGATCTCCATGTATAATACATAAGGGGGATATGATCTCCATGTATAATACATAAGGGGGATGTATGATCTCCATGTATAATACATAAGGGGGGATATGATCTCCATGTATATGATCTCCATGTATAATACATAAGGGGGATATGATCTCCATGTATATAATACATAAGGGGGGATATGATCTCCATGTGATAATAACATAAGGGGGGATATGATCTCCATGTTATAATACATAAGGGGGGATATGATCTCCATGTATAATACATAAGGGGGATATGATCTCCATGTATAATACATAAGGGGGATATGATCTCCATGTATAATTACATGGTATAAGGGGGGATATGATCTCCATGTATAATACATAAGGGGGGATATGATCACCATATATAAATACATAAGTGATCCATATAGTGAACTTGATGTGGAGTTTATTCTCATTCAGGTCATTACAGAGGATAAGGGGGCACTCTTTAACCTCCACATACGGAAAGCCTTCTTCTTCCTGTCTCCTCCCTTCTCCTGACTGCCCACCATAGGAAGCCATATGCTACGGGAGAGTTTGTGCAGGCTCACTCCCAAGTCAGCTCTTTCTGTACATAGACACACAGAGTGTGGCTCAGCCTCACTCACTTCTTCCTCACTGGCTTTCACTGCTGTCTCTGAGCCTATGAGCAGGGAGAGAGCCAAGAGAGCCACTGCTCTTGTGTACAGAGCTGGATTGAGATCGGGCTCAGGTAAGTATGGGGGGAACCGCACTCAGAAGGTTTTTTTACCTTAATGCAGAGAACGCAGTAATATAAAAAACCTTCAGGTTTTAGAATCACTTTAAGTGGAGTAGATTTTATTATAATTGTGTTTTTTAAACTATTCCACAGCAAAAAAAAAGCTCCTTCAGGGTAAAACAGATCACACTAGTACTGCCCAGTGCTTGTCATGTGGACTGCGCAGATCCAGCTAACTAATGTTAGAAAGGCAAAGCTCTGCTCACAGACACCATGCTCGAGGAACCTGACACATTTTTTTTTCAGGAATTAAGGAATTAAGGTTTTCAGGAATTAGAGCCTAGGCACAGCATCCTCCTGATGCAATGCAGGTGCCTCAACAACATATTTAGAAGCACCCACAATGTATTCTATGACGCAATGGACGTGTGCCAAAGCTCAACATTCTGAAAAGTCTAAATTTGCTTAGGAGTCTTTGGGGTTTTGGTACATACTGCAATGGGGGTGTTTTTTTTTTGCAAATCCTACAGTCATAGGGTGGTGCCTAGTATACATTTACATTTAGTGCCAGTCTGTTCAGTTTTATCAGGTGTACTTTTGTTGTTCTTTACCATACTATACTTCACAAATGTATCCATTGTTCCTTGATAAATGCTATTTCCCATTTGTTTTAGGATGGGCCAGTGAATCCTGAACGGTACTTAGGCTGGGCCAATGCCTTCCTAGTGGTCTACAGCATTGATAACAAGAAGAGCTTTGAGGGTTGTCTTCAATACTTGGAGATAATCTCTCAGTATAACAAGGGAGCCATGCACGAGAGTCCAGTTCTGCTTATAGGAAACAAGCTTGACATGGAACGTTACAGGTATCAAACCCCATAACTACATCTGTCTAGTACTTTTCCTCAGCATCTTATTGAGTATGTCATTGCTGCTAATCACTAATCAATCCAAATAATATTCTCCCTACTGCAGCCTTTCCTAACATTTTAAAAAAAGGAACATTTGAAAAACCTTTCAGGTCTCAAAGAACTCCTGACAACAATTACTATGTCTACAACTTGCAGCATTGTGGCCAGTGGGAAGAATGCTCCTTACTTTGGTGGCCAGTGGGAAGAATGCTCCTTACATTGGTGATCAGTGAGAAGAATGCCCTTTACATTGGAGGTCATTGGGAAGAATGCTCCTTACATTTGTGGTCAGTGGGAAGAATGCCCCTTACATTGGTGGTCAGTGGGAAGAATGCTCCTTACATTGGAGCTCAGTGGGAAGAATGCTCCTTACAATGGGGGTCAGTGGGAAGAATGCTCCTTACATTGATGGCTAGTGGGAAGAATGCTCCTTACATTGGTGATCAGTGGGAAGAATGCCCCTTACATTGGAGGTCAGTGGGAAGAATGCCCCTTACATTGGAGGTCATTGGGAAGAATGTTCCTTACATTGGTGGTCAGTGGGAAGAATGCTCCTTACATTGGAGGTCATTGGGAAGAATGCTCCTTACATTGGTGGTCAGTGGGAAGAATGCTCCTTACATTGGAGGTCATTGGGAAGAATGCTCCTTACATTTGTGGCCAGTGGATAGAATGCTCCTTACATTGGAAGTCAGTGGGAAGAATGCTCCTTACAATGGGGGTCAGTGAGAAGAATGCCCCTTACATTGGAGGTCAGTGGGAAGAATGCTCCTTACATTGGTGATCAGTGAGAAGAATGTTCCTTACATTGGTGGTCAGTGGCAAGAATGCTCCTTACATTGGTGGTCAGTGGGAAGAATGCTCCTTACATTGGTGGTCAGTGGGAAGAATGCCCTTTACATTGGAGGTCATTGGGAAGAATGCTCCTTATATTTGTGGCCAGTGGATAGAATGCTCCTTACATTGGAAGTCAGTGGGAAGAATGCTCCTTACATTGGAAGTCAGTGGGAAGAATGCTCCTTACATTGGAAGTCAGTGGGAAGAATGCTCCTTACAATGGGGATCAGTAGGAAGAATGCCCCTTACATTGGTTGTCAGTGAGAAGAATGCTCCTTACATTGGAGGTCAGTGGGAAGAATGCTCCTTACATTGGTGATCAATGAGAAGAATGTTCCTTACATTGGTGGTCAGTGGGAAGAATGCTCCTTGCATTGGTGGTCAGTGGGAAGAATGCTCCTTATATTGGTGGCCAGTGGGAAGAATGCTCCTTACATTGGTGGTCAGCGGGAAGAATGCTCCTTACACTGGTGGTCAGAGGGAAGAATGCTGCTTACATTAATGGTCAGTGGGAAGAATGCCCCTTACATTGGTGATCAGTAAGAAGAATGCCCCATACATTGATTGTCAGTGGGAAGAATGCTCCTTACATTGGTGATCAGTGGGAAGAATGCTCCCTACATTGGAGGTCATTGGGAAGAATGCCTCTTGCATTGGTGGTCAGTGGGAAGAATGCCCTCCTTTCAGATAGCTAAACAGATAATTGATGTCAGTGGTTACTTACATTATCTGAGAGGGAGAAATAGCTCTCTGAAACAACCCTAGGGTACCACAGAGCCCTCGTTGGGAAAGGCTGCTCTACTATATATCTTTTTGATTCTCAATAAGTTTTCTTTAGCCTTCAAAGAGAACATGCCCTCTCTTTTCGCCACTTTCTTTTGAATACACAGATTTTTTTTTTACTTCTTTTTGTTTAGTTCTTTACAATTTTTTAATGGTTTGTGCTGAGGACAGGCAAAGAAAATAAATAATCAAAGATATAATGACAGAGTCCCATTCCTTTTGAAACACCACCATGCAGCCTCACTCCAGCACTAATAACTAAGTGCATTTCCTTGTACGTACTTTAATACTTCAGGGGAAGTCCTGAAGAGCATCTCCATCACAATTGGGGTTCCTGCTCAAGTGTTCAGCATTTATGGATACATGTACTGTATTATATTACTTTATCAACACTGTATTATAAAAGAACCTAAAAGAGTTCTATGGTCACAGCATACACTTTTATTTTATAATATCAACATTGTAATAATGATACAAAAAATAGTTATTTTTAACAATCCAATATAAGTGAGTGCAGCCTGTATGATGGCCGTCACTTTCCATAACTTCATGGATTCCCTGCATGCTTAGCAGCTTCTCCTCTGTTCATTCTTTGGTTTACTTTCATTTTCAATAGGTTTTTATTCATTTTTCAAGTAAAAAAATACAAAAGAGCATACAAAAACTAAGCAAATAAGACTCAAACCAGTATATCGAAAAAAGTAGAGATACATAGGAGGAGCAAATTGGATCATGCTTTGCTGGGGTTTTTTTTGCCTTCCTCTAGATCAACTGTGGGTGTAGGATTATAACTTTTTTTGTTTAATGGTTGAACTGGATGGACTTTTGTCTTTTTTCAGCCAGACTAACTATGTAACATAATGATAATCACCTCATAGATCCCAGGGACCAAATATATTCAGTCAAGCTCAAAAGTAGGGTAACCTTCAGAGAGGTCACCAGATGGACTACGTGTAATCTTATAGCCTTCGTATAGGAGCATCTAGAGAGGGTTAAGAGAGTGAGGGAGGATAGGAAGGTAGTCCAGGAAGGGCTATCAACAGGAAGAATAAGTAGTTCAGTAGCAAATAATCAACATATTGTTACCATTTGGTTTAAATTCAAATTGTAAGGACTACATATCCCATAGTACCTTGCTGCCTGCAAGCAGTGATTCCTGTAATGATTCCGCCTCCTGAAACTCCTCCTCTCAGAAGGTATGCTCTGTGAAATGTGTGGCACAGCGGTGCCTACTCACAGGGCATAGTGACTACAAGTCACAGTCTTCAAGGAGGGAAATGTGTGGGATCTTCACAAAGTAAGTTTACAAACTTCAAGATGGTTCAGATTAGGAGTAGGTGAGAAATAGATGAAATTCCGTGTGGAAATCAATATAGGATTTTACATTTTGATCATAGAAAAGAAAAAACCCTTTGAGAAGCCTTTCTCAATAGTGTATGGTTTCATCAGAAGAGAACGGAAAATGGTTTTGTGGATATTTGCTGCCATGAAGCTAACAATAGCTACAGCCTGGAAAACATCCATTCTCTTTTTTCCAAGAAGTCAAAAATAAGTTTTACAGAGCACTAGAGACTGTGGCTGGTGGCTATTCTCTTACACAAACATTACAAAAATCTATTTTCTATGACAATGTTGGTTGGACTATGTTTGTCCAACTTATGGAACACTTATGGAACAAACAACTTGTTTTTCCTTTGCGTTTATACTCTGTGTTGCATGGGGAGGGTGGCAGGGGGATTGGTTCATTTTGTTTTTTTCTAACCCTCTTTTCTTTTCTCCTTCTCTCTCTGTTTCTGTCTACTCTCTTCCGTCCTGTCTTTTATTTCCCTTTTGTCCACTCCCCTAAAAATTTGGAACATGTTTTCCCTTGGGATAATCTGCTAGAAAAGAACAGCAGTGAATCTTGATCCAAAGGTTGGTTTCCCACCCTTAGTTTCCAATATTATTTTTGTAAGCCCTTTACACTCAGTATACAAACTACCTCGTAGCTTATTGCTCTTGATTTAATATGTGTATTTTACCGGTTCCAACTCTGCCAACTCTTGATAGTCAATACATTTCTTGTGCAGGAGTCCTGCTGTCATTGCCCAACTGGCTGGTGTGTGGCTTTCCCACATTCATCCCTATCTAATTATGGACATATCATATAGTGCTGATCCTTCAATAACACATGATCAACAGAAGATAGCTGTTATAATGCCACATTTTGGCCTCATTGGACGTCCTCTAAACTGTTCTCGGAAATTTTAGGGATAGGTCCCTCAATTTTCACTGAGCTAGAACCCCATTGGCCTCCTTTGGACCTCAGATAAGTGACCCAGGGGGCCACAGCCCTACAGGCTCGGCCTTCTCCACCAGTACAAGGACCCTGCTGTTCTAGGCTCCCTCCCCCACATTTATACACACCTCAGCCCCCTTCTGGTTATTCTTCTTCCCAGGGATTGGCTGAGTATGAATATGCAAACACAGGGTCTGCCTCTTTCAACCAACTAAATTCTAGAACACACTAGAAAGCAGGGGGGGGTAGTTGAGCCTGCAACCAGCAGTACCCAGAACAGCCAAAAGCAATCAAAATTTGCTCCCCTAGCTACAGGGGAGCCAAAAGCTAAATTTGCCTTATTCATACTAGCAACTAGGAGGGTGCTACATCAAGATGAGAAATACTATCTAAGAATTTTGCAGCTTAATATCTATATTTTTCTTCCATGTGGGTACCCCTTGAAATTTTCCACATTTTGTCATGTTACAACCAAAAATTTAAATGTATTTTATTGGGATTTTATGTGATAGACCAACACAAAGTGGCACAAAATTGTGAAGTGGAAGAAAAATGATAAATAGTTTTCAAAATTTTTTTGTACAAATATCTGAAAAGTGTGGCGTGCATTTGTATTCAGCCCCCTTTACTCTGATACCCCTAACTAAATCTAATGGAAACAATTGCCTTCAGAAGTCACCTAATTTATAAATAGTGTCATATGACAAAATGTGGAACATTTCTTGTAAAGGGTAAATGAATACTTTTTCAAGGCATTGTATACCTGTGCTCAAATTGAGCCCAATATCTTGTACATGCTTTTATCTATCAGGTGCTGGCGAAAAGGGGGTGTAACCACATATTAAGACTGAAAAATTCTGAAAGGTATATATCAGTGTGCAGAGGGTTCCTTCAGAATTTCTAGTGTTAATATGTGGTTACACCCCTTTAGCACCCGAGATAAAAGCATGTACAAGATATTGGGAATTGAGCACAGGTATCCCTTATTTGTAACTAAGTATTAATGTCTGTACTGTGTGTTTATTGTTTGGCAAACATTGATTTGTTGCTTTTCCCT